TTTTTTTTGGTCCTGAGGATTGAACTCAGGATCTTGTGCTTGCAAGGCAGGCAGTGGCACCACTGAGCTAATCCCAGCCTTAAATCTGTTTGATTTTTGAGACAGGGCCTCACTATGTAGTGCAGGCTGGCCTCAAACCTGGTGGTGACGCTTGTGCCTCAGTCCCCGGAGTGTCGGATTACCGACATGCACCACCGCGCCCGGCCAAATTTCCATTTCCTATCTGGCGCTCTCTTTACCTTCTGTGCTGTGTGGCTCATGTCCTTTGCACACGTTTCTCACAGTCTGGTTAGTGCGCTGAGCATTGCATGTGAAGGGGCAGGTTCAGAGCAGCCCAGATATGTGGACTGGATGCTTGGGCAGGGTCACAGAGGAGGTAACAGGCATGGCTGAGTCACCTTCCTGGGGGTGCGGGGAGGGTTTAATGATCACCAGGAACTGAATTCAGGAGCCACTGCTGCAGGAGATCTTGAAGTGGCCTTGGGCTTTGTTGTGACAATGAAATCCTGGACACCTTGGATCACTCCTAGTCTTGGCGGCCTGTGACCCAGATCTTTTTATGGGAAGTGCTGTTGGTTTTCCAGTGGGAATCTTCCAGAGCATTGCGAGCTGTCCATAAAAAATACGTCACCACACAATCTCAGTTTACCGTCCTTATCTGTCTGTCTGGCTATCATCCATCCATCTATCTATCTATCTATCTGTCTATCAGTACTGAGTGGGCACCGACATAGACTGGAAGTTTTGCTAACTACTCCTTTAGAGATGCAGAAGTTGGTGCTCTGTCTCCTCTTCAAATTCATTATTTTTTTATACAGCCCAGAGAGTCTTCTTTTTAAAACTTTTATTAATTTTAGTGGTACATTTAAGGTATACAGTATAATGGCATTCATTGTTGGAAATTTGTACCTTTACATAATCCATCTTGGTTCTTATTTTTTTTGACCATTCCCCTGTCCCCCCCTTGATCCCCTCCCTCCCAATCTACAAACACTTTACATTATTTTTCATTTTCTCATATTCCATTCCTTTCTTTCCTTTCCACTACCCCTCCTGTTTCCCTTTCCTTTTTGTCCCTTTTCTTCCTATTTCAATTATCTATTATACCTTTTAGTCCTTATTTACACTTTCAGTTTCTAACACTAGAGAAACTATTCAGTATTTACACATATGTGTCCTATTTAGAGAGTATCACCTCAATGCACATCCACATAGCTATAAATATCTCTAATTTGTCACTTTTTGTGGCTAAGTAGTACTCCAGTTTATTTTAAAAACCACATTTTCTTTATCCAGTCTCCAGTTGATGGGCAATTGGGATGCTTCCAAGTTTTAACTATTACGAATTGTGCTGCTATGAACATGGGTGCACATATATCACTATGATATGATTATTTTTCTCATTGAGTTGATTGGTACATTTTAGGTATACAGTACAGTTACATTCATTATTGGGATCCTGTACCTTTACATGACAGATACTGGTTCTCATTTTTCCCCTTGTCCCTGCCCTCCCTTCACCCCCTCCTCCCCTCCCCATTTACAAACACTTTATTTCCATTTTTTCATTTTCTCATATTTTTTCTTTTCCCTTATTACCTTTCCCCTACCCTTTCCACTTTCCCTACACCTTTAGCCCTTTTCTTCCTATTTCACATTGTCAACTAGGATCTTATGTACTATTGTAGTTTTTCACACCAGAGAAACTGTTTGGTATTTACACATGTGTGATTTATTTATTTCACTTAAGAATATATCCTCAATATGTATCCATTTTCCTATGAATGACTCTATTCTCTCGCTCTTTATGGCTGAGTACTATTTCATTTTATAGAAAAACCACATCATTATCCAGTCTCCAACTGATGGGCAAATGGGCTGTTTCCAAGTTTTAGCTATTACACACTGTGCTGCTATAAAAATTTGTGTGCATATATCGCTGTGGTATGATTCTTTTAGCTCTTTTGTAAAGATACCCAGCAGAGATATGGCTGAGTCAAATGGACCCTCTAGTTCCAGCTCTTTGAGGTATCTCCATATTTATTTCCATAGTGGTTGCACCAGTTATGATATGATTTTTAAAATTCTGTAGGGAAGATACCCAGCAGGGGAATGTACTAAATTAAAATAAAAATAGGGCCGGGGATTTAGCTCAGCGGTTCGGTGGCCTGACTTGCAAGTGCAAGGACCCGAGTTCAATCCCTGGTACCAAAAAAAAAAAAAAAAAAAAATGGATTAAAGATCTAAATATTAAAACAAAAACACTGGAAGAAAGGTTAGGTAGAACTCTTGAAGACATTGGTGTAGGAAAAGGTTTTATGAACAACCCAGTTGCCCATGAGCTAGCAGAAACAATCAACAAGTAGAATGTCTTCTTATTAAAAAGCTCCTGGGCTGGGCATGGTGGCACACGCCTGTAATCCCAGCACTCAAACTGAGGCAGGAGGATCACTGTGAGTTCAAGACCAGCCTGGGATACATAGTGAGTTCCAGGTCAGTCTCAACTACATCGTGAGACTCTGTCTCAAAAAAACAAAAAATAAAAAAATAAAAAATAAAATAAAAAGCTCCTGCACAGCAAGAGAAACCATCAACAGTGTGAAGAGACAATCCACAATGTGGGAAAATTTTTTCACCAGCTATTCCTCAGATAGAGGTCTACTATCTAGAATATATAAAGAACTTAAAAAAATCAGACCCCCAAATTTAAGGACCCAATGAAAAAATGGGCATCTGAAGTGAATAGACATTTCTCAGACAAAGAAGTAGAAATAGCAAATAAACATATGAAAAAGAAAACATACCTAGATTATACCAATAAACTCAAGAAAACGAAAGACAGTATCACTGGTCATTTGAGAAATGTAGATGAAAACAACACTGAGATTCCACCTCACCCCAGAAAGAACGACTGCTACCAAGAAATCAACCAATAACATGCTGGCTAGGCTGTGGGGAAAGAGGAACCCTGCTCTACACTGTTGATGGGAGTGCAGATTGGTGCAACCACTGTGGAAATCAGTATGGAGATACCTCAAAGAACTAGGATTGGAAGTCTCAAAGGAGTCTTAACATAAACATTTTCTAAAAGGAAAATTTAAATGAATTCCTCATCTGTTTTACAAGTCTCCCTTTTTATATTTCCTCTCTCCTTCCTTGCCCCTGTGCAGCTATGGTGAGGGGAGGAGCGGAAAGTTAAATCTTAAGTCTAGTGAGTTCTGCCTTGGCCAATGATGATAAAATGCCAAAGACTGAGCGGCACAGATGAATGTGTTGAGGAAGGTTATTCAGGGTGTTGGGTCAGGTGTGCCGTGGAAATGGAGTGATTATCTCACTCGGTCATAGTGTCTTATGTATTCTTGTTTTGTTTGCTTGCTTGCATTTTGGGTTTTTTGAGACAGCGATTGGATATGTAGCTCCAGCTGCCCTTGAACTTGTAGGGATTATCCTGCCTTGGCCTCCCAAGTGCTGAGATTATAGACATATACCACCATCCTCAGCTTTCTTTTTCCTTTGGCGACATCGGACTGAACCCAGGACCTCTGCACTGAACTACTTATTTTTTCAAAGACCATCCTGCTGAGTTGCTCAGGCTGTGCTCAAACTTGCTATCCTCCTGCCTCAGCCTCCCAGGCATGTGCCACCATACTTGGATTATTGTTGTTTACTATGATCTAAAATGTTGCAAAAGTATTTGCCTAGCTCTCTCCCACTCAATGTATTGTCTCCCCCACTTTTGTTACCCCAGGAAAAAAGGGGAAGATTTGCAGACCTATTGGATGCTAAATATTTACGGACTACATTACAGATCTGGGTTATATGGTGAGAGTACAATTATTTCAAAACCAGTTTTAGATTCAGTAATGCCTCAGTTCATGAATGTTAATGTTTGCAAACAATTTGGTTCACAAAGAAAAGTAGCAAAATTTTGTTTCTGTTCGCAAACTGCATTGAGTAATGAACACGATCCTGGCCATCTTCCCTCAAATTGTAAAACAAAACAAGTTTGTAAACTGAGGCACCACCATATACAGACTTTAGAGGATACCTACTTAAGCATGTTAGCGTTCCCTTATCTGTGGTTTGGCTTCCTATGATTTGTGTTAGCCCTAGTCCACCATGGTCGGAAAATATTAATATTTGTCTTGACTCATTAGACATCACATAACTTGTATTATAGTGTGTTGTTATAATTTCTCTCTTATCATTAGCTGTTAATCTTCTACTGTGGCTAATTTAAACTTCATCATCATATAGGGAAAACCCTCCCATATGTAGGGCAGTGGTGGCGAATCTTTGGCACACGTGTCAGAGTGGGCTGTTTGTATCATTGAAGACTCTAAAAGGTTGGCCGTCACTGATGTAGGGTTTGATACTGTGTGGTTTCAGGCATCCCCTTGGGGGGTCTTGGAGTATTTTCCCTGTGGATAAGGGGCTAGGGGCTCCTGCAGATCCACTCTCAGTACTGCTGGGAAAAAATGCAAGACAGATTCCAAACATTCCCTCCAGCAACATCTTATTTCTACTAACACCAGCCCAGCAGTAGCAGCAGCAGCAGCAGAAGTAAGTAAAGTTTTAAGAAAGAAAACCAGGTTGTCTACAACCAGTGCCTCACTGTTTCTTGTGAGCCTATGTGTGTGCTACTCCTGCCCTTTTGTAGCCTGGGTTTTTTTCCTTCACCCAGTCACAAAAGCCAGTCCTTTGAAGTCCCCAATGACAAACTTAGTGGGCAGCTTCTTGCAGTCCCCTCTGCTTTCTGTCTGTATAGCCTTGACCTTGAGCAAGTAAGGACTTCCTAAATAGGACCAAAAGAATGCTCAGTACAAAAAGGTTGGTGACTTTTATTAGATTAGCAACTCTGAGTGTATCACGAGAAGCTTAAAAGGTAAGCTGCCAAGTGGGAGAGAAGTTTGGGATATACTATTTGGAAATATATCTTAGTTACTTTTCTTGTTACTGGGACAAAACACCCAACACTCCTAAGTTAAAGAAGAAAAGGTTTATTTTAGCTCATGGTTTGTAGATGTTTTCAGTCCATAGTCGGCTGGCTTCAAGGCAGGCTGGCATGGCAGAGGGGCATTGCAGAGGAGAAACAGTCCATGGCAGGGTAGGCATGAAGCCGCAACCTTCTTTTCCTTTTTATCCCATCCAGGCTACAAGCCTATTGGATGGTGCCACTCATACCCAGCATGGGGCTTCCATTGTCCACACCCAGAACTGTGCTAAACCAACCAGTGGACTAATCCAGTATCAGACACCCATGATTCAGCGACTCCCAACAGCCCTACCTGTGAACCCATGAGGCTGTGGGGGAACATCTAGACACAAGCCATACGAGCATCGTGTATATATTTTTTACTTATATGTAATATATAAGTGTAATTTTTCACAGGATAAAGCTAGACCACCCAGTTGGAAACTGGGCAGCAGACTTGAATAGGCACATCACTAAAAATGTACTTTAGATAAAAATGTCAGTACGGGGCTGGGGATATAGCTCAGCGGCACCACACCTGTCTGACAAGAAAATGGTCCTGAGATTGATCCCTGGTACAGGAAAGAAAAAAAATGTCAAAACATGCTCAACCTAAAGTCACCAGGGAAATGCAGATTAAAACCAGTAAGATAGCAGCCCACCACAATGGCTACAGTGAAAAGGTCCAGCTCTATCTAGTGCTGGGAGGGATGTAAAGGAGCTGGAACTCCAAACACAGTGTGCTGTGGTACACGTGGCTCGCCGGCTTTGGGAGACTGTCGGGAGGATCTGCGATAGTGGGTAGCACGTGTCTTAGGGACCAGCAATCCTGCTGCTAAGTGTGCACCTGACAGCAATGCATACGTGTTTCCCAAAGGCACTGTGGATGGTACCGGAAGCCGGGCTTTCTGTGCCCTCTGCCTTTTCTGTCGTGTGCCTTCTGCTCGAGGTGCCCTCCCCTCCTTTCCTCTGCTGCTTGTTTTTCTTTCATTCTTCAGGGCTCCTGCAAGCTTTGCTGTGGTGTTCTCTCACATCTAGGTTAGGAATCTCTTTTGCCTATTACGGGGTTATCCTGGCGAGTGCCGAGCTGCTGGAGCGGGATCTGGTGTGCGGGGCCAAGTCGGAGTCACAGGCAGCGGTACCCACAGAGGACTCGGAGGGGAGCCAGAGCCCTTGCTACTGCCACCAGTTCGCCCCCTCTGACTACCGGACCATGATCATCAGCACCATTGGGGAGATTGCTCGTATGTGTCCATGTGTGTGTCAGGGACCTCTCTGGTATTTGGGGGGGAGGAGATTGTGTGTATCTTGAGTCTCAGGAGACAGGGGTGAGCCTGGGACATGGCTCCTGCCTAGTGGAACTGCACAAGGCCCTACAATCTGCTGGTATGTCTTGACTTTTCATTAGTGTGGGGAGGAGGGCCTTATAGGACCAAAGCTTTGGATCACTGTATTACATCAGTTCTACATTATTTTCTCTCTCTCTGAAATTTCAATATCTTGTTAGATTTCTGTCCATTTCTTCCTTCCCTCCCTCTTTCTTTCTTTTTTCTTCCTTCCTTCCTTCCTTCCTTCCCCTCCCTTCCCCTCCCCTCCCCCATCCCCTCTATCCATCCAAGTCTTAATAAGTTTCCCAGGCTGGGCTTGAACTTTGCTCCCCTCCTGGCTTAGCCTCCCAGCACCAGAATAGGCATGCACCACTTGGATTTCAATTGGCGCCATTATTTCTGTTTTACCTGACACAAAATGATGGTACTTAAAAGTCAATGGCACCTGGAACTCAGAACCAGTGCAAAGCATTTTACGCTTAGGCCTACCAACCTGGCCATTTGTCATAGACTCCGTGATGCAATGAGCACCCCGCACGTAAAATGTCCTTATGCACCAGGGTTGGCATTCCTGGACTGTGTGGGGAGAACAGATAGAAGGCGCTGTGTCTTTAGTGATGATGTGGCTGAGCTGTGAAGGGGACGTCAGAGAAGTCTGGATGAGGCTGCTTTCTGAAGTGATGCGGACGAATCCATGCCACTGTGGGCAAATGCTGCTGTGTTCCGAGGCTGCAGAAATTGCCCTTGCTGTTTGCTTTCTAGTGAACCCTTTAAACATCCTGGGCATCAATTTCCTTGGAAGACGGCTGAGCCTTTCTATCACCATGGGATGCACAGCTTTATTTTTCCTTCTCCTCAATATCTGTACTTCCAGGTATTTATTTTTTCCATTGGTTGTTTGAGAACATTTCATGCAGTGGTTTTCAAATGGGTTCTCCAGACCCAAGCTGTTGAATGGGCTGCTTGTTTGATTGGGAGGCTCGTGCCCCGTACTGCAGGTTGCTTCCTCTGCCCGTTTCAGCTACTGTGGGATATGGGCCCCGTGTTGGAGTACTCACTTTACCCATCGAAATGTTTAGGAACACTATGGGAAGCTCCCTAGAGAGCTGGAGAACAGTCCTAATTACCAAATTATCTGAATGAATGTCAAGATAGTTTAAATACCTGTCTGTGGTGTGGAAATCATTTCATTTATAATTTATACTCGAAGCAATTTGCAAGCTGGAGGTGGTGGTACACACCTGTAAACCCAGCACCTTGGGAGGCTGAGGTGGCAGAATTGCAAGTTTGAGCCCAGCCTGGGCCATTTAAGACCTTGTCTCAAAATAAGACATTAAAAAGGCTTGGGATATAGTTTAGTTTTGAAGGTCCTGGGTTTATTCTCCAGTACCCAGAAAAGAAAAGTTCTTTGCACCAATAATGAGCAGGTACAACAGAATTTTCCCCTTGTTGATATTCCCTAAACAACAACTGCATAAGTGCTATTCACATAACATTTCTTTGAATTAGGTATTGTAAATCTAAAGATGCTGCACAAAAGTGACACGATTTTATGGAATGGACCTGATCCTCCATAGGTTTCGGGGCCCGTGAGGCGGGGTCCTAGAAACAACCTTTGGCAGCCACAGAGCAAGCTGTAAGCTGTCTTGCCTACCTCTGGGGGCTGCGACAGCATGCGTCTGGGAATGGCCCTGGGACCCCACGGTTAGGCTGCTTGTAACTTCCCTCTGCTCCCTGCCTTCCAGCGCTGGCCTCATCGGCTTCCTCTTCATGCTGAGAGCGCTGGTGGCCGCCAACTTCAACACCATCTACATTTACACGGCAGAGGTGAGTGCCCGGAGGGGTTGTGTGGGGTGCTCAGCTGAGCTGTTCCTGAGGGCTTTCTAACTCCGACGGATGGCGAGTCCCTGACTTGGGTGATATTCTGATGATCCCCTTCCAACGCCCACTAAGAGGACATTAGAAAGCTTGTCTGGGGGGGATTTTCCTCTCTCTTGTTTAGTCTCTTGAAAGCCAGGCCCAGAGAGGAAAGGTGGGACCTCCCCGCTTTCCTACTAAGCCACATGGCTGTGAAAAGAAGGCCCTGCCCTGCCCCAGCCGCCACAGAATGAGAGCAGCAGGGGTAGCACGAGAGTCCCCTTCTGTTCTTGAAATCAGAAGGTGCCATTCTCTTCTCTTCTTTGCTGCCTGGGAATTAAATGCAGGGACTTCACATTGAGTTATAATCCCAGCCTATTATTTATTTATTTTTTTTGGAGACATTGTCTTGCTAAATTACTCAGGCTGTGCTGAAACTTGTATTCTTCCTGCCTCAGCCTTCCAGAGTGTCAGATTACAGGCATATGCCACCATGCCCAGTTCACATTTATTTTTCTGGAAGACTGTTTTCTTCCGTCTCTGTTATTTTCTGAATATAGTTTAAATTTGAATGTAATTGTGATTTACTCTTTAATTGTAATTTAATGCAGTTTATTGAATTAATAAGTCTACTCTAGGGCTGGGGTTTGTGCTGCACCTGCCTCACAAGCGCAAGGTCCTGAGTTCAAGCCTCAGTACCAAAAAAAAAGTCTACTCTATGTGAGGCACTGCCTGAGGTAGCTGGAAATGTCTTCATAAGCTCCTGCCATAAAAAGCTGCTATTCCCAGAAATTAAACAATATTTTAATAGAAACCTTGCTGGGAGTTGAAGTGGTCTTGTCAGTCACTGAGCTGGAGAGGATGGTGCTAGAGGGCTGATAGAGATATGTTAGTTTTCATCTCAGTTGTTCCCAGGGAAGATCTGACCTGTCAAAAACTATTGAAGGGCACGGGATTTAGCTCAGAGGTTCTGGCGCCTGCCTCCCAAGCCCAAGGACCGAGTTTGATCCCCGGTACAAAAAACAAAACAAAAACACTATGCAAGGGCCTGGGATTTAGCTCAGTGGTGCCACCTCCTGCTTCTCAAGCTGGTACCAAACCAAAAGAAAAACCATTCAAGCCACGGAGAAAAGTACTCTCTTTTCCTTCCACACAGGCGGAAATAGGAAATTAGAAGATATTTGAATGAAATGTAGTACTTCATTTCATTCCACTGACATCTAAAATTACTTTTTGAATTTATGAGCCCCCCAAAATCTATAACATATTATGTTTCTAGACTTGTATGTGTAGCATTTGATTAAATGCATATTTTAAAATATACTCATTTTGAGGGTCATTTCTAAGTATTTTAAATACCTATTGTTAAAACCCCAAAGATGTGGACCTAAAGTGATAATCTATCATTGTTAGGTTCCAAATGACTCAGAACCTGAACAAGAAACTGACGATATAATAGCAAAAAAAGACAACATCTCCATGCATCTGAATCCATGATTTTCAGTCCTATCCAGCAGTCTCATTTTTCAGAAAATAAAGCAGCTAAATACAGTGGCACATGCCTATAGTCCCAGCTACCTGGGAGGCTGAGGCAGGAGAATGCAACATTAGAGGCTGGTCTGGGCAACTTAGACTTTGTCTCAATACGAAATTTCTTATTATTTTTTGTTGTTTTGTTTTGTGTTTTTTGTACCAGGGATTAAACTCGGGACCTTGCGCTTGCGAGGCAGGCGGCAGAACTACTGAGCTAAATCCCTGGCCCTCAAAACAAAATTTAAAAGAAGCACTAGGAGTATAGTTCAGTGATAGAGCCCTTACATAACATGGTCAGCACCCTGGATTCAATCCCCAGCACCACAGCAAAGCCCCCCAGAAAAACACTCAACCCCTAGACTTTCTCCTATAAATATAGAGGCAGAAAAACATTTTACTCTTGCCTTTGACAAGTGGTAGCCAATAAGATGTGGCCCACTGAAGGGCTACGTGCTTTGCTTTAATGAATGAATAAAAAGGATTTTATCAATATGGTGTAACATTTTTTAAAAGTTCCAAAAATTTGAGATACCATTTTCTGTACCATATATTCTCCCTATAATCTTATTTAACAAATGCTTGCTGACTCGTTTAAACTTCTGCCAGTTTCTATAAGAATTCAGAGGCAAGTCGGGCGTGGTAAAGTGCTCGCCTGTAATCCCACCGCTTGAGAGGCTGCGGATCACTGAGAGTTCAAGGTCAGCCTGGACTATACAGTGAGACCCTATCTCAAAAAACAAACAAAATGACTCGGACCAGTGAAGTACAGATTGATGCGATTTTACTCTAACTGTAAAAAAGAAATTGTGGGAGGAAAATAGATTATCAGTAAAATTGTGCAATTGCCAAGACCACTGTGTTCGGTGAGAATGTGGTAAACGTGGCAGGTGCCTGGCCCTCCGGTCAGCTCTCCTCACTGTAGCTGTATTAAAGATTTTGTTGGATCAAATTTCTAGGGACGTACTTTCTTTCCATGCTGGAGAATCATTTTTATTCAATTATATCTCTAAGAGGGGACTTTGCTGTCGGATTCCAGAGCTTATCTGTTTAAAATTTAGAAAATTCAGTTAAACATACACTTTGTGGGAAGATGGTCATTTAAAGGATACTTTCCCAAGTGTTTGTTTTTTGGCTGATTTTTATTGTTACAAAAACTGCAAGTTGGGCACCAGGGCAGATCAGGACTTCTGTGATCTAAAGTCCATCTGGTTCTCTGAACTACTGGAGCCTGGCCTGGGAGGGAGGAGGATGGGGCCGAGGAGGGACAGTGACTAGTTCTGTGCCTCTCCTAGGTCTACCCCACCACGATGCGTGCCCTGGGGATGGGGACCAGCGGCTCCCTGTGCCGCATTGGGGCCATGGTGGCGCCATTCATATCCCAGGTGAGCGGCAGGGTCTGCAAGGGTGAACCTGAGTGCGGTGGGGAAAGAGTGAGGCCCCAGAAGATGAAAGGCACAACCCAGATTCCTGCCTGCTTTTGAGTTTTCCAGAGGCACTGCTGCCCCACTCTTCAGAGCGTTCGCATAGAGAAAGAGGTGCTTTGGTGCCCTGGGCTTTTGGCTAGTTGATGGTGTGGAGGGTTAGCACTTTGGGGTTTGCTCAGCTGGGTAGTGTTGGGGATACATCCAAAAGGAAGGACTAGCTGGAGCAGTGGAGCGACTGTAGGCTCGGACCTGAGTTAGAGCTGTGGCTGGATATGTGTTCGGTCGATTGTCTACACTCACAGTGGAAAAAGAAGCTGAAAGTGCAGGGAGGTAGTGTTGGGCAAGGGCCCTGTTGTGCACAGGCACACTGGGCACAGAGTGGGGTGAGATCCAAGGCAACCGGAAGCATGCTTTCTGGAGAGCAAACAGGCAGATATGACCCGCAGGTCTTGGGGCCAGAGGGCGATATGGTTTGTCTCTCTGCACTGCAATAGGACACAAATTCGCTTGGTCAGGGAGCTGCAGGAAAGGCAAGCCTGATGACTCGGTGCCCCTTCGTCTGCCTGGAGCCTGCCTAAGTGTGCAGGCCTTGCTCCTCTCTCCTGATGGGACGGCTGTGCTTGCTTGGCTCTGTGCAGGGCATTCCCACAAATCCCCACCCGACGTATCTCTGCCCCATTAAGACAGTGATCTCTGGGTCCCTAGCCAGGGTCTCCTGTTGGCCCAGGTCTGGTCATTTGTCCCTGCCTGAGTTGCATCAGTATGGACCAGAGCCAGGGCTGTGAGCCGCTGAAGCGACATTCTGAGGGAGGTGCTTGCTGAAGAGACTTCAACATGAGGTTCCTAGAATTTAACATAGGGATTTTGTGAACCACGAGGGATTTAAAGAGCTTTAACCCTCTTGGGAGTGTTTTTCCTACTTAAAAACGGGGGCTGCTTTTGTCTTATGCTTTTGCTTTTCAAAATTCCTTCATGTCTACTACTTCATCGTTTTCAGAAAGAGCCTACTGGTGAAAGAAAGGAGAACAATATTGACTTTCTCTGGATGACTAGACCAAGGCATGGTTAATGTCCTCAGCTTTTGTTAGCAATTGAGTCTCTGGGTTCTCAGTCTTCTGGAGGGTTTGTGGGGCAGAAAATAGCCCAAGTGGACCAAATGAGTGCTCTGCTTAACATCCTGGGGTTGGTATAGGTTTTCTCTTTCTTATTCCCTAAGATAGGCTATTAAATCAGCTAAAGGAAAATGTTCACATGTGATCAGTGATATGTTTGTACGCTTGAATAACTATGGTTATAAATTTAATACAGATACACCTCTAAAAATGAATGTTTGCCAGGTGGTGGTGCATGCCTGTAATCCCAGCACTCGGGAGGCTGAGACAGGAGGATCACTGTGAGTTCAAGACCAGCCTGGGCTACATAGTGAGTTCCAGGTCAGTCTCAACTACATAGTGAGACCCTGTCTCAAAAAAACAACAACAACAAAAAACAAAACAAAAAGAATGTTTGGAACTGTTTAGCTATCAGAAACGAACTGTAATAGAAATAATGGTAGTATGTGGTCCGAGAAAATAAAAAAGGAGCATTTTGCTACAAAACTAAAGACTCATTAGTATATAGCCTCTGCTGATAGGCCAGGGACTGACTGAATCCTCTCACCCTTGGAAACATCTAGAAGAAACCAGTCACTCTAACCCTGGCCACCTGGTGTCTTAGTTCAGGCTGCTGTAATAAAATATCAGAGCCTTACAGATAACAGAAACTTGTTTCTCACAGTTCCGGAGTCTGGAAGTTTGAGCTTAGATGCCCACAATGGTTGGTTCTGGTAAGGGTCCTCTTCCTGGCTGGCATGGCAGATGGCTACTTCCTCACTGAAGCTTTATATTTGGAAAATGGAGGAAAGAGCTCTTCTGGGGCACAGATTCCATTCAGGAGGGCTTATCCTCAAGACTTAGTTACCTGCCAAAGCCCCACCTCTAAATACGATAGCCTCACACTAAGGATCAGGACTTCAGTACATGAACTTTGCAGGGGCACACTTAGCCTGTGACACCAGGCATCCTCAGTTCAGTGATGTATGGTGCTGGTTTCTCCTGTGGATGGCTGAGTCCTCCTAGCATATGCCTGTCACCCAGGTTTGCAGTACAGGCCCCTCCTAGCCCAAGGTTGTGTGACTGTGGTTGGAGTGGGGTTGGAGTCCAGCTCTTCTGCAGCTGACCTCAACAAATTAGTCTGCCATCCAGGAGGAGGATGCAGAGCATCCAAAGTCCGTGAAAGCTTCTCAGAGGGATGTCAATGGAGACATCCACTCACAAGATCCAGCAAACCTTGTAAACATTGTCTTTGCCTGATTTCTGTCACTGGTACCATGACAATTGTCCCCAGTCTCCTCCCTATAACCTTATTACTCTGCCCAAGTACGGCAGAACCAGCTCTTTTGTGGCTCCTCCTACAACATTCTCTGAAATCTTTTCTCTTGGGCAGCTCTGTTCTCTTAACTGAAATCATTCAGCCTGAGATGTTTGTTAGGCTTCAGAAGGAAACAGGGTAGATAAACAGAGGATCTTTGTTAGGTGAAAAAGAGGTTCCTTCACTTAAGAACCTATTTTGATGACTCAGGAAATGTTTATTTCTGGAGTAATTTCTACCAATTTTAGGGAACTTCTCAGTTTGTTAGACCCCCCCCCCAATAAGACTTAATTAGCTTCAATGTGCATTTAATAAAATAGAATTTAAAGTTAAATTATCCCAGGGGTGGGGATGTACCTCAGTGGTAGAGCACTTGTCTAGTGTACAACAAGGTCCTGGGTTCAACCTCCAGCACTGCCCAAAACGACAACAAAAGAAATCAACTGAAAATTCAATATCTATATAGCATTTAAAAAAGATCACCCTTGTTATAAAGACAGTGAATTAGAAGGCATTGTCCTCATCTTAGTCTGTTTTCATTTAAGGTACCAAAATAACCAGGGCTGGGTACTTTATAAAGAAAAGAGGTTTATTTTGTTCACATTTTGGAGGTCGAAATTCCAGGATTGGGAGTTCCCATGACATCAGGCTGGAAGCAGAGGCAGAGAACACATTGTCAAAGAGGAAATTTCTCACAGTCCCTTCTGAGGGCACACCCCCAGGTCACCTCAGGACCTACCATGGGCCCCTCCTCTCAGTGTACACCAAGGACCAAGCTGTGAGTGAATGAGCCCTTGGGGACAAGCTCAAACCACAGCAGTCCCACCCGTACTTGTGGCAGTAAAAAAGTGAAACAGGATCCCAGTGGTATGTGCAACTGGCCTGTGTTAGCTTATGCAAGCTAATGGTTCAATTTTCAGGAAAATCTGCAAGCTATTTAATGTCACATTACAGTGTGAAATTAGCCGCAGTGCTAGGATGTGCATCATGGAAATCGATAAAGGCTGTGTGGCAGGATTTGGGGTTTGGGGGAACCTGTTGAGTATTTGGCTGTACAGCACTACAGGGTCCTGCCCTCAAGAAACTTACTTTGAAGTTGGGTTCTTTGCAAACATGCAAAGAATTTAAGATAATTTCAGGTTGTAATTCATGCTTTGCAAATAATTTATTCATGAGGAGGGGTGACAGGTTTTTTGGGGCAAGTCCTTTCTGAGAAGGTGACATGGAGTTGAGACCTAAAGTATGAGAAGTTGCCAGTGGTGTATAGGGCAATACAGACTTTCAAGTAGGGTGACAACTGCTACAAGGCCCAGAGGGCCAGAGACTGGCTTGTTCCAGGAACAGGAAACTCCATAGCAGGCAAGTAGGGGAACATGCAGGGAGAGAATGTGCCTCTTGGGTACAGTGAGGGCTTTTGATTTTATCTTAGAAACAATGGGCAATATGTTAAGGGTTTCAAGTGACAATTTAAGGGATATGATTAGCGTTCCATTTTAAACAGATCACTCTGGTTGCTGTAGAAACAGTGAATTAGAGGGAGGCAAAGGTGAACCACCCTTCTAGCAAGACTGGAAAAGCAGAGTTCAGAATCCCAGAGAACACTTCTTGTAGCATACAGATAGAGGAAAAGATGGTAAATTTGATTACATAAAATTTTGCTGAGCCATGATTTTTTTCTTTTTTTCTTTTGGTTTTTTGAGACAGGGTCTCACTATGTAGTTAAGATTGCCCTGGAACTATGTAGCCCAGGCTGGTCTCGAACTCACAGTGATCCTCCTGCCTCAGCCTCCCTAGTATGATTTTTTTGTCCTGTCAAGTGATTAAGCTTTCTGTGAAGTATGGAAACCAGCGAGTCCACAAATAAGACACTGCAGAACCCCCTAGGTTAAGTGAAATCAAAACTCTGTGCATTCAAAATGTTCGTAAAGTTGTGTTGGCTGAATGGAAATTTTAAGCTCTGGCATATGCTACAGCACATAATGCATTTTTGTTTAAGGAAAAAGCCAATTATGTCTATATTTCTCACCAAATTTGGGAGACACTGCAGAAAAGGTTTAACTAATTTATAATATTATTAAAAATAATCAATAGATGCATGCAGAATAGATGTGAATTTTTTAAAGTTTATTTTAAAATTTTAGAAGTCAGATTACACCAAAACTAAAAAAACAAAACAAAATATTCATAAAGGAAGTTAGCTAAACAAATTTATAGACCTTGTCAAAGATAAAGCTGGGTACTCATTAAAGTGGTAAGGATGAGTTTTAATTAGTAATAACTTAGTAATTACTAAGTGCAGTAGGAGAAAAGCCACTGTGAACCAAACACCACTTGCAGGGGCCCAGATTTAAGTAGGTCTGTGAAAGAGAAGGCGGGGGTGGGGGTGGGGCCGCGTTGAGTCAGGGAAATAAAAACATGACACTTGGCAAAGGGGTGTTGGTCCCTACAAAAGTCATCGAGGCAGCTCACTGCTGCTGTGGGACTTGGGGCCCTCCCTCCCCAGAGGCTGGGACACAGGGACTGTCTGCAGGTGTGGATGGAAGCAGGGG